CAAAGGCATTGTAATTAGTTTTGTACACTTTGCTGACCTTCATTCTAAGTTTTGTACTTAATAGGGTAAAAAATGTTATGCATTGTATTGTAACTACTTTTATGGTTTATATGGTTTGAGAGAAATAAAGAAAATGAAAATGAAAATAAAAAAAATGAATAAATGAATGAATTAAAAGTAAAAAATAATAATAATAAGTAGAATAATTTTCTCCCTTACCTTTCTCTAAAAATTTTTAAATAATTAAATAGAGAAATTGTCTTCCCCTTTCTCACTCTCCTCTCCCCTTGAACCAAATTAACATAAGGATAGTAATTTAGTTTCTTAACTATTAAAATAATATAACTAAGCCCTTATACATTATATTTGCTGAGATGTTTTACTTCCTCTTTAGGTACAAAGATGATGTTTACGATCGTTTATGGCGTCATTATAGTATTCCCGAAGCGAAAATAATCGAAGGGAATGCAAATATCGATATCCAAGCAAGTAACAATATTTATGAAATTCCAATGGAGGTTTTAAACACAGCTGCACAACCACCAAGTCGCTTGGATTCGTTGAATTATTTGTTCAACGCATCATATTTTCATCGTGGTTCCTTATCTTGGTCTTCAAGGGATTTATATGTCTACTTCCATTTGGCTGAAATTGTAAATACCACGAAAGATCAACAGCGAGAGATCAGCATTACTTTGAATGGTGTCAAGTTGCCGCCAATTACTCTTGAATACTTGAAACCACAAAGCATAGGACCTCAGATATTTCCGGTCAAAGGAATTGCCAACATTTCAATTGAGGCAACTGCAGAGTCTACTCTTCCACCTCTTCTCAATGCCTTTGAGATTTATGAAGTGCATAATTTATTAACGTCACCAACGAATACTGTGGATGGTACGAAATTTTATTATTATTATTTTATTTTTAAATCTAATTGATACTATTAGTACATAAAAAAAAATTTGATTGACAAGAGCTTGATCTTTTTTTTTTTTGAAAGGCAAAAAAACTTTTATTTTGAGTACAAAGGGTACTCTACCCATTTACATAAGATTTAAAGTGCCTAAGAACCTATGCACTTAAGCACTCACATTACATAGATGGGGATTGAGGAGCCAATCAGAGAAACTGTACCTCAAAACCTTCCCTCTGTTAGTCAGCCAGTGAAAGGACCTTACTTGGACTAAATCGAACAACTTGTTTTTGTCCACAATTTTATTGTTGAACAAGACCTCATTACGAGTAAGCCATATAGTCCATACCAAGGCAAACCACACCACTTCCCAGCCGACCCTCATTCGTTTGGACACTGCAATACCCTCATGTTGCCTAAAACCATCCCATACATTACTAGCCAACACAGCTTGAACACCCCACCAATTCAAGCATCTATTCCATATTTCGGTAGTGATTTTACAAGAGAGAAATAAGTGATCGCAATCTTCCATATACTCTTTGCAAAGGCTGCACATGACTTCAGCCGGATCCTTGATGATACCTCTCTTGAATAAATTGGTTTTAGTAGGTATTCTATTTAAAAGAAGTTGCCAACTAAAGCCACACACCTTTGAAGGGGCATTTGGATTCCATACTCTTCCAAAGACATGTTTCTGGCTCTGTTCTTGTGAGGCAGCGAGATTTGCATACCCTGTACTTGTTGTGTAGCTACCATCCATGCTAAACTTCCAATCCCACTTATCCTTTCGTCCTTGGTGTAATTTAGTTGCTTCCAGCATCTCCTCTAGTTCCTTTCTTGCTTGGGATTCTCTGTCCAGCAACACACGCCTCCATGGAAACATCCATCTCCATTTATCCTCAATCCAGACTCCCATTTGCTTTATCTTATAGTCCATACCTGCAGAAAGCATATAAAGCCTTGGAAATTTGTGAGCTAGGACCCCATCCTTACACCATGAGTCCCACCAGAAACTTATTCCATCTCCATCTCCTACTATAATCTCGAAACCATTAGATAACCACCCATTTCTATTGTCTCCCAATACATCTATCCTACAAACATCCTTCCACCAACTAGAGCCCTCCCCTCTACCATTCTTAACCCATGACAACCAACTATCATTCCCAGCGCCATATTTTTCCTTAATTAGCCTACTCCACAACCCCGCATCCCCTTTAGCGAGCTTCCCCCACCATTTACCGAGAAGAGCAAGATTAAAAGCCCTAATACTCTTCACGCCCAACCCCCCTTCATGTTTACCCTTACAGACCTTTTCCCAGTTGACCCAGTGCACTTTCCTAGTATCCTCACACCCACCCCATAAAAAATCCCTCCTGATTTTTTCAATAGATCTCACAACATTTTTTGGTGCAAGGAAAACGGACAGTAAGAAAACAAGCAATGACGTAAGAACAGAGTTTAGCAGCATTATTCTACCTCCAAACGATAACCATTTCCCTTTCCAACCTGCCAGCTTCTTCTTCAAGGAGTCCACCAGAGTTTGCCAAAAAGATACCCTTCTGTGATTCCCCCCTACCAACATTCCCAGGTATTTAAAAGGAATAACACCAATCTGGCAATTTAACAAGTACGACATTCTAATTGTCCACTCCTCTTCCATATTAATGCTCATCAACTGACTCTTCGAGAAATTTATCTTGAGCCCAGATACAAGCTCAAAAGATCTGAGGATGCACTTGGCAGCCCACACATTGCTCTCGGTAGCCTTCCCAAAGAGAATTGTGTCATCAGCAAATTGTATATGTGAGAAGCTTACACC